TGATCATTTTTAGACCCTTTTGGATTATGGCAAGCATTAAACACTTTTCAATGTTGTTTGATTACAAAGTTAAATTTTAGTACCCTCATGACTACCATTTGTTACAAAACCACAAAATAGTGAGCTGCAAATTTTTGTTAAAAAAATATTTCCACTTTGTTAAAAATATGTTTCCACTTTCGTGATTTTCAAACAAATCTTCAACCGTTACATTTTTCCTATTTATTTTATTTTTGGAAAACATCACTGTTCTAATCGACATAAAATTCTTCTACGGAAAGTTGCAGTTACAGTCTAAAGTGCTTCTCAAGCGACCATCACCTTTCGAATCATCAATTTCATGATTTCCCATTTCAAAATCAAATCAGTCTGTAGTCCTCACAATCTCAGCCTTCACTATATGAAATAACCCTAGATTGTCTCTCTCCTTGGGTTTCTTTCCCAATAGTTCGACTTCGTATCTACTCAACACTACCATTCGCCTTCTAAAATACAAAATATTGAGCTGCAATTTTCTGCTAAAAATACATCGTTTTGTGATTTTCCTCAACCTTTTTAGAATCAAATCAATCTGTGTTTTCACAATCTCTGCCGATTTCTCTATCATGAATGAGCCTAGATTGTGCCTCTCTTTAAGTTGGTTTCCCAAGAGATCAACTTCGTATCTACTCAACACTACCATTCGCCTTCTAAAATACAAAATATTGAGCTGCAATTTTCTGCTAAAAATACATCGTTTTGTGATTTTCCTCAACCTTTTTAGAATCAAATCAATCTGTGTTTTCACAATCTCTGCCGATTTTTCTATCATGAATGAGCCTAGATTGTGCCTCTCTTTGAGTTTGTTTCCCAAGAGATCAACTTCGTATCTACTCATCACTACCATTCGCCTTCTAGTATTCAAAATACTGAGTTCAATTTTTTGCTACGAAACATATTCAGTTTTGCGATTTCCCTCAGCCTTTCATGATTCTTCTGTTCCGTATATTATGACAAACACATGCTTTACTCTACGTGTAATCCTCCTTCAGAAGGTTGCAGTTTTTGTGTAAATGCTTCTCAAGCGCTGTTCGAAAAAATCGCCTGTCCAAAAAAATTATCAAGTTCTATCCATTCCCTCAAACGATCTCAACCGATTTCACAATGAACTTTCAATGGTGTTTCTTGGAAGTTAAATCTCTGTCATCGCGAGTTTCATGACCCTTTTCAAGAAATTGCAATTTTTGCATTTTACTCATCTTTACCATCTGCATTCTAAAGAGGATATATCAAATTGCAATTTCTTAGAACAAGACGTCTGAAGCAAAAAACAAGTCCCTGTAAATTTCCACATGCCTTAATATCTCTCATAATTTCTTTAACACCATATGTTTAATGTCAAGCATTAGACTATTATATAGCTTTGAATTTTTTTTTGAAAAGTTGCAACATAAATCTCTCTTCAGAAATGGAGTTATTAAGCTGCTCGTTTTCGCTCCCAAAAGCCAGTCACTTTATAATCACCTTCCTCAACTGACATGCTCCAAATCATTGGTATGCTTCTCAAGATATTCTCCCCAACATTCCTAACCACTCGACCTTTTTAGGTGTCATGGCTTAAGCCAATGGCTCAAAATCAGTAATTTTGTTCTTCTAATCTACAATGGGACTGTTGAAAATTTGACTCGTATTGCTGTCTTCCTCTTTCAAGAGCTCAACCATTAAAGATCTCACTGCTGAACTTTACTGTGATTTGTTTCTATATAGAATTATTGTACATGAAATCTTCGTACTGAATGCTTTTTGCCTAATGTCTGATACCACATTAGAATCGAAACTTTTCTCCGTGTCCTTGCTCACGCTATCTCACTGTTGTAAACATCAACAAAGAGTAGTGTTTCATACTACAACACATAGAATTCACTTATGTGGAGCGGATTACAAGCTTTTTTCCGAAACATGAAAATTGTTGGTGTTGCAGTCAGGTAAATTACAAATCCTGATTCACTTGTACGGTCATTTTGTTATAAAGCGTTTTCATCTAAACTATAACTGATAGAAATCCTTTTTAATAGAATGTGATGAAAATGAAACATCCAACCAAGACAGTACCGCTTAGACATTGTCCACACCCACTTACCAGACCAAAGTGCCGCGAAGCGGCACTTTGGTCTGGTCATTGTATGAATTGCATAAATGTTTGGCAGATAATGAAGACAGATATGGAACCATTTTTTAATGGGGTAATATGGGAGTTACAAAAAAAGCCACTTCGACTAAACGGACCTTGTAAGTTTACAACCACGTTGAGAATTTTTATAAAATCGTGTTCTTTCAAATTTACCTGTTTGTGATGGTAATGATAGAAGTTCTGTTAAAACTTATACGTCTGCTATAATCGCATTGGCAAAGCTGAAGATTGTGCAAATCTCCCAATTGCTCAACGGGCAGTCACCACAAGTAAATTTTTGACCTCTGTTAATTTCCTTTGAAGCGCGTATGGCTACATGATCCGGCAGAATCATTACTGCACTTAAAGTTCATATGGACCTATTTCTGTTCATCGATCTGGTGGGTCATACAGATAAATAACGATCTCTTAATACGCTAAATTGCTTTCTTTCTATATTACAACTGCCCATATGGTTGGATTACCACATTGCAGATCTGTCCTCTCATAAAACGATGCACTTTTGTGGCAAATTTCAAAAAAATTGCAGACGTTTTTACCCTGTCTAATTAGCATATTGGACTGTTTTTTAAGTGAATCTTTTTGTAACAATCAAGTTTTGGTCGCCGTTAGTCCTTTTTTTCGAGGTCCTCTGTGTCAGATCTGTTCTTACCTGATCAAATATGATTGCTATCGGTACAAGAGGCATGCAGAATAGCTTATCTAAGTCTGAATCGTGGGACGACGCTGTTCAGCAATGCTCAAAGTGCCAAAATTGAGTGTGCGGGAACTGTCATCTAAACTTGGCTCGATATGGTGGAAGAGTAGAGAATACGATCAATTGGTACCACACGATTCAAAAAATGGTCAGCGAAAGACCAACGCTTGAGCTTTACTAAGCCCCAGATGAACTACCTTTGTATCCGAAGCAATGTGATTTTGAATGAAAAGCGGTATCATGTTATGGCAGATTTGTAAAGAACACTGGTACTTGACCATTGCAAAAATTATGGATCGTAATTACTGATTTTCAGAGCGCTCGGAACTGCAGCAAAATTTTGATTATTTGACAGAGCGTAAAAACTGCATCGAATGTTACTAATATCCTTTATAGGTCTTTGTTCGTAAGATGTGATGCTTGTTCAAAGAAGCAAAATCACTTTCGGGACGACTTGATAGTTAACCAAGCAAATTTTCCTAGATAGGTGCTTTTTTAGCATTCTTCTTTTAGTCTTAGCTCTTTATGTGTGTTGTGAAAATACAATAAGTTTTTTTAGGATACGTATGCTAAGTGCGCATAGTGAGTGCTGCAAATATGGATCAAAATCACTGAACGAATCAATTATAAGCTATTACATAGGGTATTTTCAAATTTTTGTTGGACTATAATAAGAACGAAGCATTTCATTTGCCACTATATTTAGTGAAAATTCTCGAATATACGCAACAAGAATCGCTTGGCAAAATTACGACTTTATGGTTTGAGCAGAAAGTGAGCCTTCACTCACGTAGAGAATGAAACGAGCTGAACACTTAGTTGTGCCGCAAACATTATTTTCAGTTTATTTTTATATAGCTCATGATTTTTACGAAGTACAAGTGGACAATAGTTATGTGTGTGTTAAATGACAGGTGACTGGATTGAACCAATCACAGACACATGGTACTAACAAGGAGAGGATACTTAGTCGAAAGCGCCAATCCAGATAAGACATATGTCATCTTAAAACGCTTGAAACGCTGATTTCAAATTTGCAGCTTCTAGCTGCGGAGCTGTTTTGTAGGGGGAGTTATAAGGAGTGTTTCCTCTAGAGTTTGGCTCCCTCCACCATTTCTCCCCCTACCTATAAGCACTGTAAAGGAGTACCAACTGGTGGCAACTGACCTAGTGGTCAGTGACATGCTTGATAAAGAGAGTGTCAAGGTCTTAGTCCTTGTCGCACGCAACTTTGTCGCAGTTTTTTGCAAAATTGAGCCTCTAAATGGCTTTAAAGCTCTAACGCTTGAAATTTTTGATGATATTGATGCTATAGAAGTGGTAAAAAACCAAAGTAATACGAATGTTATGATCTCTATGTAATCTTGACTCAAGTTACTTACCATGAGGCCAGTTGCCACCAGCTGGTAATCCTCTACGGTGCCTATAGGCAGGGGAGACATGGTGGAGGGCGCCTCGACCCTAGAGGGAATCACCTCTCATAACTCCTTCTGCAAAACCGCTCCGCAGCTAAAATCTGCAGATTTAGAATCAGCGTTTCAAGCGCTTTAAGATGATATATGTCTCATCTGGATTGGTGCTTTCGACTAAGTATCCTCTCCTTGTAAGGTACATAATAATCTGCTAAGCTGGTTTTCATGTACGGGACCCGTCATACTTCGCCCAAAAAAGCCTGGAAAAGCCCGAAAGAGCCGGAATCTTGAAACGAACTTTTGGTAGAATTCTTACATTATTTTGATGTGCAGACGACAGAAAACGAAGCATAAAGACTCGGTTGCTAAATCAACACGCATGCCTTAGCGTCAAAACGAAAGGGGGTGTTCCTTCTCTTTCTGGCGCTTTCGGTCTTTTTTGGGCTTCTTTTTTTCGGCTTTTTTGGGCTTTTTCGGGCTTTTTTCGGCTTTTCTGGGCTTTTTCGGTCTACTTTCGGCGAAGTATGACGGGTCTTTACGATAATCCATAATCCATCCAAAGTATTCACTTGCAAGCCAGTCCCATCGGCGATAAATGCAGTTAGTGCATGCAATTTCTTGAGCTTTATCGATCGAAGTATAATGAACTAAGTGACCTGAATGCTGAAATATGTTGTAGGATACTAGAAGGTTTTGGTGGATAAATGTTTAATGTACTCACCTCCTAGGAGATAATCTAGTCCCACCGTGAGATTAACGTCGACTCTACCCTTCTTGTAAGGCGTAGGAACATACGTAGTAAATATAAATTGTTGATGCTTTATTGCTTGCTGAAATCATAACATAATATTTTCTAAGCACTGAAACAATTTGCAGAACTAAAATCATTTACTTTCAAGACTTTTAATGTTTTTATGGCAACCGAATGTAATCCTATGTTCTCTATCTCTGCATGCACTACTGAAATAGACTGCATAAGAAAAAGCTGTTTTGCACAAATTTTATATAGCCTTCATTTCTAAAACTTTTCAATCTAGAAATTTGTTCAAAAATGAAACTTCACTATGAACTTACCATATGGATACTTGAGAATTTTTTCTATGGGTTTGAAGCGTTGCAGAAGTCGCCAATAATCGAAAGCAGCACTCGACGTACATACGCATGTAACGAGAATTGCAATCATCAGCATTTCCTAATAGACATCCTATCATCTTCGCTTACGGCAAGTAATAACTGAGTAAGTCGCAGCGATAGAGCGTTCGCATAAGGCCTAAGGCATACCTTGCGCGATTTCGCAAAATCGCTACCTCCTCACGATTTGGCGATTTGCCAGATGTCATTGATTATGTCCGCCTCTTCCATGCATGGGCGCGTAAAGCCCGTAAGTTGTAGCAAACGCAGCAAGTCTGTCCCCAGCAAAGCGCTCTTACGACCTATTAGGAATCGTTGCAGAGCCAGATCGCACAGCGACTGGATTTGCGTGAGGTATGCCTTAGATCTAAAAGGCTGCTCATAAAGTCAATTCGTGCTATATTCGGACCACCTCACATATATAATTCTGACCTGCGTATGCATCATACACGAGCGCTCTGTTTAGAGCTTTTTCATTATATCCGCGATAAAATGTAAAATACAGCCGTTAGAAGTCTATCAAAGTTTCCAAGGATCTAAACAACTAGTTTCCATGTTTGGTCTTGTCTCAAGAATACTTGACGCATGATCAGATGTAAATCAGTATAATCATATTGAACAAATACATTAATAAATCGACAGAGAAAGTCTTTATAAATCCGTTTTTCCAGAAAAGGATATCTTCTTTCCTTGTACCAAAATGTAGAAACTTCACAGGATGGGAAGACAAGCTCATGACACCTGTCACAAAAACTGACATGTCATCTACATGGTCAACAGGTTTACCAAGATTCTCTTTAGCTTACCTATCAATGTAAGTATAACCTGTTTTCTTCATAACGACCTTATTTTTATCTAACAGGCTCAGAATGAGCTTTAACATTATGACAATGACATCTGTGTTAAATAAGCACAGTAGGTTTTCACGAAACAGAGAAGTGGGCTATTGCTCTACCATCTGAACGACGAAGTAATCAGGAGCCAAGTACTTCAAGCCATCACTCATATTCTTTTTCGGCTAAATTCGCATGGCGAAAACAATGTAAAAAGCAGGAATTCTTCAAATTATTGCTTAGAGTTACCAAGATGTTTTAGTAAACGTTTGAATCTGTTTTGCCTTTATGAAAACCCCTTGAACAGGTTTCGAGGTATTTCAAATGCTCAAATGCTTTCAAACGCCGAAAATTTTGGCAAACATGTCAAACTGGCCCTATACGGTTTTTACCTTGACTCGTGGCAAGAAGACAGTCCTCACAATATTAACGAAAATTTCACGCTGAAGCTCTTATTTTATGAGAACTTTTGAAAAAAAAGGTTCGGATAACGGTAAATCACCGAAATGGTAGAAACTCTGTTTCCAAACAGTGTCGAGACGGTGGCAAGTGGTACAGCCGTTGTAACCAGATCAGAACAAGACCGAGAAGCCCTAGGGCCAAGCAAGTCCTTTGCCCCGGAAATTCGTTACCGTAATCTGAGGAGATTAATGCACTAAGCTGCACAGGGCACAGTAAATGGGCTGGTCTCCCTAAATCGGTGCAAAAGTTGGTAAAAATTCGGTATCCTTTTCGACTACGGAATATGCGTTTGCACATGCTCCAAAGGAGTATTGAAATCTCCGGATCCTTTACCCCCTATCTTTTGTTCAGCCTGCTAATTTGTAGCCAGGGTCAAGCAAGGGGTGTGGCACGCGATCGCTGGTTACGACCCCCCCCCCCCCTTGATTGCGGTCTCAATAAGAGCCCCCCCCCCCCTTGAATTATATACCTAAGATAGCATTACCTGAATGCCCTGTCAAGCATATTGGCAACATATCCATAATGAGCATGCCAATTAACCCCTGTAGACAAAGTTTAAGCGAATTCTGAAGATTCACTATACTAGGCTACCTAAGTGAAATTGAAATTGAAATTGGTCATATTCCAACATGGTTGACATTGTCTCAAAGGTGAATTAGCTATCCGTTTTTGCACTTGAGACAAAGCACTACTTTTCTTTGTCCATCGCAGAAATCTCGCTTCTAAAGACCTCCAAACTGTGGAATTAGAAGCCAACCAAAATCTCATTTTCCCATTTTCGCTTTTAATGGCTGTGCTTTCACCAAATATTAATCATAGCTAAGAAGACGAATCAGGCTTGAAACATTGCTATGGAATCTATGAGGTTTAGGCTATCGATTCAAGTAAATACTGTTTGCTAAAATTGTTTTTTTTGTTATAGTTATTGGAGTGTTGCACACCCCCTCAAAAGCTGTGGCAGCCACAGCTTTTGAGGGGGTGTGCCATTGACTATGTCATAAAAACATTTTCAACAAACCATATTTATATAAATCGATAGCCTAAACCTCGTAGATACCATAGGAATATTTTAAGCCTGATTCGTCTTCTTAGCTCTGAGTAATATTTGGTGAAAGCACAGCCATTAAAAGCGAAAAATGGGAGAAATGCGATTTTGGTTGGCTTCTAATTCCACAGTTTGGAGGTCTTTAGAGGCGAGATTTCTGCGATGGACAAAGAAAAGTAGTGCTTTGTCTCAAGTGCAAAAACGGATAGCTAATTCACCTTTGAAACAAAGTCAACCATGTTGGATTATGACCAATCACTTAGGTAGCCTAGTATAGTGAATCTTCAGAATTCGCTTAAACTTTGTCTACAGGGGTTAATTGACATGCTAATTATGATATGATACGAACATCATGTTATCGCTATTATCAAATTACCCAACTACGACCCCCTCCCCTTTTGACTCCTCAATACGACCGCGAGGTGTGGCGTGCCACACCCCACGCTTGACCCTGTTTGTAGCCCTTCAGAGTATACAAAGCGAGGAAATCAGTGGATCAATCCCCAGTTACTAATAGCTTATCGTTCGAATGTCCGCAAAGGTTCTTCTGTTTGGGAAGCTAGGTATCCTACAAATTCTATAAATTGAGAACGAACGCAAAATTGCTAAGCCAGTTATAACATAAGCATTGGTTATTACAACATGCGCAACTTTCCACTATTACTTGATAACTATTACTAAACAATATTACTGCCTTATCCGGATCAAACAGTTCAGAATTGCCATTTCTTTTGCGAAAATTGGTTTTCAAAAGTGAAAATGCACTGACCAATCCGCCCTGTGATTCCCTGACAGTGCGATCCACCCACTGTAGCAAAACAGATTTTGAATTGCGTTGTAGAAGATAGGAGAAGTTTGAAGCAGGGAGGGACGACTCAAGGCATATGCTGAAAGATGCTTTTGAGTGCAGCATTGGGGTTTGCTTATTACGAAATTGACAAATTGCGTCGTCGAGCTATCGCAGACTGGCCCAACCCGGTCTCATTGTGATAATGATTGAAAATCCGTTAAATGAACTGCCATTGATCTAATAACGCACCTTCTACATTCTCTCACAGCTGATCCACATTATAGCCGATGAAATGGAAGCGTTGTATAAGCTTAGCTGCCCCGACTTCGGGCTCTTTGCAAACAATTTGCTCCCTTATTTCTGAATCTGCAATTCGGAAGTGCAGCCAGCTAGTCATTGTTCAGGTGCTAATAAAGCTGTCAATGAGTGTGTAACAAATGTAGAGCCAGCGAAAAAATTATTATCATCCCTTCGTAATCTCGCAAGTGAAATATCTGACTTTTACAAATAGAATTTACTATCCTATTTGAATGAATCGAAGTTGTGGATTTGCTGTAGCCTTAATCCTCTCATTGTCTGACAGCAAAGTTATGTTATTACATGTGTACGCATGCGATTTGGAGTGCAAAGGAAATCTGAAGGCAGGTTTATCCGGTATTTATCCGCTCTGTACTAGCATGGTATGTACTTCTACTGCCAAAGATTTGCCATAACTGTGAATTGACATCAATTGTGTTATCAAAACGACTTGGTTGCAAGCGCATGTACAGTCGAGTAGATTTAGCGGTAAATATAGTGTGCTTGCACAGAAGGTGAAATGCGGTGAAATTTGCGCGTGAACAAGTAGCCACATCAGTACCGCGGGTATCTTGCGCGCGCAATTGGCCGGCGTCACAGTCGAAACTATTTCTTCACGCGCCAATTTTACCGCATTTCACCTTCTGTGCAAGCACACTATATTTACCGCTAAATCTACTCGACTGTACCACAAGCAAAAGCATTTCTTATTTCAATGGCCTGTAATCAACAGCATTGATACATTGATACATCTTTTGTAATCCTTGAGTAAGCAGATTCCGTACTAAACCAAAGTTATTTTGTGCTGTCTTATCGATTCACTAACAGATCTTTCGAAACATCACGACAATTATATGAATAGGGTGGAAAACCTTGTTTTTATTTGCTGTGAAAAAATTGTAACTTCGAACAACAATCGTGAAAAGCCTCGCCGGTCCAAACTCAAAGGAAATCTCTTGAATTAGGTGGTCCAGTTATCTCTCAATCACATCCGCACTTAACTGACTCTACTATCCTGACTGAGTGTTAGTAATCTTGGTTGTTAGCTCATTGAAATCATATAAATTACGATTTCTATCTAGTTTATAGCAGCTAAATGTCGTACAAGCCACGGTTCCTGATATTCTGCATGTTTCACAGGGTTTCACTACCTTTTCGTTAGCTCTGGTAAAATCACTGAATCGGTGCAAATATGCGCTAGGCGGGGCACATATAATTCTAAGGGGCGGATGTCATAGGTTACTTCTAGTTGTCGACTGGTATCGATTTCATCGATTTTTTGCAAAATTTGAGCTACGAGATTGCGAGTTTACAGGAGGAAATTAGGATGCGATAACGAAAACAAATATGTTATCCAGAATTGGTTACCGTTACACGATTTCATCAATGCTTCACATTTGAGCCACGTGGCTGGGAGTTAACAACACAGGGGATAAGCGAGCATGCTGATAACATATAAATGTAATGTCTATGTTTTTTCTTGAAATCTGAGCATGTTTCAAGAAGTTCAGTTTGCTGTGCCAAACAGCCTTTCTACGATGGCAAGTTTATTCAAACGGATTAATGTTTTAACACGTTTCGGACCGCGAAATCGCGCGGGGCGAAAAAGAGTGCACTTTCAGCCATTAGCCAACAAAGGGACCTTAGACTGTGTGCTACATTTGTAAACAGCTTATCAGATGAGTTCCATAACCAGATTATGAGTGAATTCGAAGTATTTGAATTTTGTCGCTTGAGAAGGACTTCTGTGCTTTCGGAAAGACAGGAACAAGGACTCAGTTTCTGATAGTATCCAAAAGTATCTATGTTGCACACGGTACACACTAGTATTGAAACTACGGTTTTTCTTTTTTTGTATCGAAGCAAAGTAAACAAATTGCGATGTCGCATCGTTCGCGTTACCGCACTTCGTTGCAACTGTTGTTCGATTTGTGCTCATATCTCCTAAACAAATGTCGGCAGCACAACTCTACAGAGTCATTTGAAAAGTAGAAGCTTAAGCCTTTGATCTGATAACCTTGGAAGATAAAAGAAAACTTCCTGTAAACGTCAAAAAGGCCCATCAAAGCAGCGTGTGCACCATGTGCAGCACCGGTCCGAAACGTGTTAACGGCTTCGTAGTCCAGAATTAATATCTTGTTTTTTAAACTCTGACATTGAATGCTGAACAAGTTTGTATGCCAAAATGGAGAGATTTAACAGAAAAACAATAAGGTATGAAGCAATTGCGCAAAGTCATATGAAATGGCTCTTTGTCTACCAGCGACAAAGAATGAGAGTTTTCAATAACAATCTGAATCGCATGACCTAGACCGCAGAATTGCAATGGCACATCTCGCGAACACCTTATTGTACAGACCGGCATCTGAGAAAGAATTTCATACGTAGGTTAGAAGATCTACGATGTTTGGACTGTAGTAAAAGAATCTGGAAGACTTGTTGATAGATTTATTAGCAGAATGAAAGTAGAAAGTCCAACTTTAGTTATAGCTTGATTAAAACACAGTGACTCTCCTTACGGGACATACATTCGATGTTTGCGGAAATCTATAGTATCAGAGCTGTATTCAGTTGCGCAGACGGCCCTTCAGAGTGAATGTTACGACTTACATAAGATTGTGAACTAGCTACCAAGCAAAATAATCTGTTCCAACACAATGGACTTTCTTTGTCGAACATAACTGGAATGCCAAGTTGATGTGCATAGTATAACAGAGTCTTCAATGTCAGCTCTCTTAAAATCATCAAACTTTACTAGCATTATCGGAGCTATTGGTATTATCAACAAGTTTGGCCTTATTAGAGAGATGACACTGTGAACGAATGCTTGAACTGCAACATCTTCAAATGTGCTGAGCATTATTATGCCCAGAACGGCGAGACAGCTTTACACACGCGAAGAACCATAAAACGGATGGCTTCCCTTTGAACACGCAAATCATTCTATCGAACTCATTGTACATAGGTATGAAACGGTACCGCAAAGAGAGAGGCAGAAACATGCCATTAACGCAAAATCAGCACCTTACGCGGTTGAATGAGCTATAGTCAAGAATATGTTCAAAATAGCAGCAAAGTGTGCTCTCTAATGAGAATGAACTACGCAAGTTTAATTCGTAAATAGCATGCAGTAACGCCTATTAATTGCCACGCTAGCAATGTTCCCAATGCGACATCGCTAATCACAGCAGCAAGAGATAGACCTCCACCTTGTATTTCGTCTCGGACAAATTTTACACTTACTGCCAGCAGTGTATTTCTCGAGAGCAGCTACAGAATTAAGTGATTTTAGTAAGCGTTCCGAATCACAGCATCAAAAAGCAGCTTGTCAGCATTAGGCTTTTACGATTCAGAATAATTTATCAGAGATTGTTTAGTATACACATGGAAGGGTAGAAGATTGCGCGAAATTGGGAGTCGTTACCTCGGCCGCAACGAGCTGCATATTGGTGAAACAGGATGGATACTGAGCGTTTGCTTAGAAAAGCATATGGCATGTAAAAGACGACAAAAGTTTTGGTAGCACTGCTCGGCATGCGCAGCAACGATGTTTATGGTGTAAATAAGTTTGAATTAAAACGTACAATATTTGCTTTGAAAAGGAGATCTTGGCTAGGAAGGTGCTCGGAGACTTCTGGGATTCTACCAAAGGTCAAGAAATGAACAATATTTATGCCTGTGCACCCGCCATACTTAATCCTCTTGATCCACTTGATCCGCTTCGTGCGAAACGCGCGCCACTAATTTTCATTTGGCGTCGCGTGCAGCGAATTTGCGTAACCATACAAAATTCCTTTTTACCTACGTGGCGCCAAATAACAAAGCGCTGCGTGCGCGCGTTTTGCACGAAACGGATCAAGCTGATTAAGCGGATAATCAAGTGGATCAAGAGGATCAAGTATGGCGGGTGCCTGTCGATAATTGCTAAAGTCTTACTCTTCGTACTCCTATGCGAACTGTAGAGTGTAGACATTCACTATACTGTAGTGCTCAGTTGTCTGCCACAGTGACTTACCTACGTGGACTCCACACATAACGGTGGTGCGGTATGCTTATTTCCGTGTTACCGATTTTCATGAAGTGAACTCAAAACGACGTCGAAACTAGCAACTAGAGGAGGGATTTGTTGGCATGGTTGCAGGTTTTTTACATAAATTTCAGGCTTCGTTGTCTTCAGGTCTCTGAAGCCAACGAAGCCGTTGTAACGTCAGATTAATGTAATAAAATTGCAGCCATAACAATCGTGTTCGGCACAGCACAAATGAACATCATGAATACAAATATTTTTAGAATTGAGAGCTTTACCGATTTTATCGATTTTTGAAATTTTTGAGCGACTGGGGTTTCGACATATTAGGATGAGTGAGCTTGTAAACTACGAATAGATATAATTTCAAGGCTGCTTGCCTTTGTCGATTTTATCCAATTTTCGTAAACTTTGAGCTTTGCCGCTGGGAGTTAACACAGCGTGAGCGAGGTTAGTGAGCAGCCTGCTTACGAATACAAATGTAATCACTAAAAGTCAATTCCTTCATCGTATTAGCGAACCTTTTGCAAACTTTGAGAAATGGGTGGGAATCACAGACGGAAGGGGCATGCTGACTACGAAAAGAAGGGGGCACGGAGGTGGCACATAGAATTGCGGAGGTACGGAAATAATGTGTAGAACTAGGACGAAATGGTCTTTTCAATCGTGTTATGTTAACAGGACCGAGCAAAGCCGGATATCCCAACTACTGTACTTCGTCTACATAATGTGGGGCGTTGATTGCTTGTTCTTGCAAGTGCTGAGTTCTCCGAGGTGAAATCTTGAATTAGCAAAACGCATATTTAAGGTAAGCACAAATTGAGGCCAAAATTTTCAAGCCACTGCCTACTAGAATATTCAGGTCCGTAGTAAAGCTCGGTCAGATAAGATGATCTGAAATGAGGCTCTCAGATAAGATTTTTGAGATGAACTGACAAGCGACACCCCTCCCCCTGCTATAAAAATGCGTGACCTGACGGGTGAGCGTTAGGGAACGTGCCGCGATGATCTCACCTGACTTCCGTAAAAGCAGTGTCGATTTTGAGATTATCTCAAAGAAATAGTGTGTAAAGGATGAGACACATAGAAAAATCCCGTTAGTTGCTCGTGAGTAACTTACGAGATACGTGATGTGACCTATTACTAAAGGCTGGAGTGCACGAAACTCCACATTTTCGGGGGTCTACGGATAGAAAGAGTCGATGAACAACTGCTTCAGCCAAGAATGGGGAGAAACTAGTTTTTTTTCTTTTTTGCATGGTTTCCCTTATTTCCGTAAAAAATGCTCAAGTCTATTGATTTGTTTCTTCTTTTAGAACGCGCATCCTTATCAGTTCTATAAAACACTCAACACTCAGATCAATAGCTCGCTCGATGCTGGGCTAAGGCGCCCTTCGAGCAACTTAGGTCTGCCTCAAAGGAGATGCCATGACGGGGTTAACTACGGGCCTCACATCCCAATCCATTGAGCAACCTATTGGTTAACTTTTTGGATGCACACTTATCACACACTGATCACAAAAAGGAAAAACCCGTTTATTTCACAAGTCAAACAAACAAGCAAACTACGTAATAAATTTTCAAGAATCTCGAAGGTTTTCCAAACACAGATATACAACTGCTGCACTGCGAACTACGTCTGCTCAAAGCAAGGTGATCAATTTATGGTAGATCATCAACCCGACCTTCATTTTAAAAAAGTGTTAAAAAGTTAGATATATCTAAATCTTGCTAAATTTCCTTAGTGCGTTAGTGATGAGAACTTCGTAAGGTTGACATAAACTGTACACTATAGTTCGCATCGTTTCTGGATTTAACTTTACATTTTGCCACTGTTTACTATCCTGCACTCAGAAACTGTTACTTTGTCTGGCGACAACGCAGACCCAATCTGGCCAAAAGTTTGCGTAAGGGACCACATACTAAACCCCCCATAATGATGAATCCAATACTTGATCAGACACTTATTTGTGCGACCGCACACAACATGCATATGAGGCAGGCACAAAATCCGGGGGCTTAGCTGTCTGCAAGGCCGTTATATTTGAATAGCTTTTTTGGCTTATCCTTTCCCTCAAAAAAAAAAAAGATTTTTGATGATTTTAGGCGTGGTATGTATACACGACTCATGATAAGCAAAGATTGGGCGTTGCATCCAACCGAGATAGTTCGTGCATGGAAGAGACAGCAGATGGTAAGAAAAACGAAGAGTCGATCAAAAAGACGCCAATAGGTTCGCAGTCTTAGCGTGCTATGAATCGCCTACATGTTGTGTGCAATCGTGCATATCACTGAAAAAAGCTGCACTGTATACCTTGCCTTCATCTTCAGCTCGTAAGTTCAAATCACAAGGGAAGCATTTTACACAAGGTGGCCTCTCCACATAATTCTTGACCGCTTTGCCAAATTGGACGGTGATTCCTAACTTCTCCGTTATCTGCGATACGCGTCTAGAGAGTTATGAGCAGTTTTGAGACTGCAAACTTGGGGTGAAAACGTCTGCAATTGCTCGAATGGTTCACTGTTAATTATCAAGACTTCATTCGATGGATCTCATCTGTCTAATAAACTCTCAGCACCGCTCTATTTGAGCGCTGAAAGGACGCAACAGTTGATTTTGCCCAGACTTTGCGCTCATTTTCCCTCCAAAAAAGTCATAACTCGACGTCCAAAAGCACTTAGCAGGCATGGTGAACAAATTTGGATTTAGCGTTTAATATCCTTCAAAGTGGTATAAGGTTCTGAAAAGGCCACTTTGACTAAAAAGACTTCCCTTGTTAACAGCCTGCTCAGTTTTGTATATTGGCAACAATACAAGGAAATCGATATGTTTAAGAAAGACAAAAACCGAGATGTGAACGTCATGCAGTGCTATTGATGATCCTCATCGTCTTTTAAGTAGTACATCCAGTAGATGACGTTAAAGAGTGCAAATACAGCTGAAATGACTGCATCCTGTTCTCGCAGTTTTTCCTCAAAAGTTGAACTCACAAGGAAATGCAAATCGCGCAGCTTTGTCAATAGCTAGTGCTCGCCGCGAATACCGTAAGGCTTTGTACATGAGATGGGCAGAATTCTTGGGAACATGTGGGTAGTACTTTGTTGGACCCTCATCATATTCGGAATCACAGTCTGTTGGCACTGAAATTACACTAGTCATTCGAATACTCTGTAACCCTATAATAACAACACAAAACTAGTCTACGTACATAGAATATGTTTGTTACCATTGTACCCGTTCTGCATCTTCTCGGCCATATTATTGTACTTATTTGCCTTCCTCATATAGCTGTTCACCATTGCAAACTCCAACAATACACCGAAGATGAAGAGCATGCAAACTGCAATGAGTAAAGGCATGATAGTGAAGTGACAATTTTATTTCTGGAATCAGGTAGCTTTACAAAGAGCACTTCTATTTTTCATTAGTCTATTCAAAGTTCTCTAGAAAGAATTTCATGACAAGGTTCAGTTCTTTCACGGAGATTACATATGGTTTCCATATCAATAGAGCACTACTGCACTTGACTGATCAAACAGCTAAAAATCTTTTCTCTACTCAAATCGGTGCTCCAAGCAATTTCTGAGTAAGAGGCTTCGCGAAAATTGTACAGTGCACAACTCCTCATCTCATAAACAAGGCTATAAGCCTTCCCACATGTTTTTTTTTCGATTATATCATAGATTTTTGAAGACATGATCTTGTATTGTTAAGGGTTGGTATCTACACAGATAAATTATTTTTAAAAAAGAATGAATTCAACTTTTGTTAGTTGCCTCACAAGAATACTATTTGTAATATTATAAATAACATATACCGCCACAAATGAATCTAACAGTTTGGCAACCGAGCTCGAAATATATAAATTTGATTCAACTGGCTTAGCAGCTGGAAGGCGGGGCTTTGTGACCTAATTGAGGCGCCCGCGAGCAGTCTGCGTCTCTCCGAACGCGTGCTCTCTGATCATGACCTAGCCTTGATTAGGTCACAAAGCTCCGTCTTCCAGCCGCCGAGCCAGTTGAATCAAAGGGTATGCCTAGAAAAATTTTTGCTTTTTTTATGGACACTAACTAAGACATGCGACATATTTTTGTGTAAATGAAAGCAAGTCTAAAAGATGGTACCACTATGCGCGTAATCAATGACTTACATGAGAATAGACGCTTGGATTTGCAAAATAGAATCGTGCCCAAATCTAACCTTCCACTTTTCGTAAATGCTATGCGTTCCTCATATGCCCCAACTTATCGGACAAAAGCACACATGCAACACGCACGAGCCGTAAGGAATTTGCCTGAACCCAAGAAATACGAGTTAGGTGGAAGTGGCAAACATCGCTTTGTCAACTATAATCTCCTACTATCTCCTCAGTTACTTATTTTCACTTCTGTACGTGCAATTCTTGAAAAAAAACAATTTTTGTCCGAAAATGTCCGACAATTTTGCCGAGAGCTAATATATTTTCGCCGCACCAACTCAAACTTATTCTCTTACCTCCATAGAAGTAGTCTAAAGCTTTAGCATAGGAAACAGCCGGCAGAGCATATCTGATGCCGTTACCCTAAAAAGAAAAAATTGGATTAGCAGGGCTTAGATCACACTCATACCTGTGTGCTCAACGTCAGTAATGTCGTAAAGGACAATGAGACTCTAGCAGGAACTGCTCGTCGATCAATCCAGAACGAAACCCAAGAGATTGCTACGATCAGCCCAGTTGGTATGTAACTCTGCAAACATTCATCACTTTCATTCTAGAACTTTCAGTGATTGTGGTTACCTGAACAAGGTGGTAACCAATGGCTCTTTTCAAGTTCACCACTCCTAGTAAACAGCTGAAGTCGCCTGAACAGCAATTCTTGAATTTTTCTTAGTTGGAAAAAAATGAAAACAACCGTTTGTTCTAATTTATTTGCCCCTTTCTCATTTTGCAATAGTGAACAATCAAAGGATGTCTAATTATGATACAAAGATCTCAGGCTATGGAAGCAATGTGGAAGCTTGAAGAAATCTCAATTCTGGTACTATCTATTCCCCTACCATAGACGAAAGCCTTTAAGAGTTGAACTTATGGAACATCCAAAATGTGCCCTCTCCCTACCGCTTTGGTTTATTAGACAACTCATGGTACTTTCAAGGGCTTGAATTGAAAGCAATAGAATAAGAAAAAAATATAAAACAAATAATCAAACTTACCAACTCGGTAGGAATCCGGTGTGATTGTATAGTGGAACACACCATTACAGTAATCATGCTCCAATGACATTATATGGTATTCCGGTAGTCCAATCTCCGGATTATACCGTATTGGGCCATCTTTGAACCACGTGGCATTCATCTCTTGTTTCACATGGGCATCTGAAAAGCAGTCTAGTAATGAAGCAAATTCTAGCATTTAATTATGATGTGGCTTTTCATGGGAAAAAAGTGGGGCAGGGGGATAACTGAAAAGCTAAAATATTTTTCATGACATAATCATCTGGAAGCTGAACTCATTGCCGTTTTCCTAAACGTATTACGAGGAAAGTCAAAGCTTCGCTGGCAACAAAGCAAATTGGGTTTTTGGGAGGACGCTGTTAGCAAATCATCTTTGTAAAAACTGTCGGTGATGGTAGCTGAAGTGGATAAAAGTTACTAATATTTTGTGGCCCAGCATGCTTTGTTATCTATACTGAAAACAGAGGCCTCCCAATTTCTCCTGTTACGATTATCTTCCCTGCCCTTTTTTCATTTTTTTCTCTTTGCAAATTATATCACATAATTTCGAAGGACATCGCTCACTCTCAAGTAAAAGCTCTGAAGATCCCTGCTCCAAGAAGAAACCCATCTTGCTCTCCTTTCCTTCTCCTTGCATCTTTCTCGTACACTCACCCTTAGACAAGCAAATATGCGCTACTAATTTGGTAACTCGATGGCCAATCGAATTGCCTGGGGGAATCTAGTACGACCAGGAGATGCGCAAATGAAAGTGGGCATACATCGGTAATTTTGTCAGCGCTAATTTTTTTGCGAAGGGATTTTCTGCAGTTGTTTTGAAAACCTTTCCAACAAGCAGGAAAATGTTAGGCAAGTTCAGTTTCAACAGCTCTCCCAGTTCCGACAGTAGAAGGTTCAGTACCCACAAGCATGTAAGCCTTAACTTTTGCCTTTTGCTGCGGGGAATCACAAATTTCGTTAAGAGATGCCGCATATTCTCAGTAAACAACTGCCTTTTACATTTTTGTTGCTTTAGAACTGAAAACAGGATGAAATCGAACCGGAATAGAGGGAAGCCCATAAAAGTTACGCAAATAAAAGTGTCAAATAACGTAGGACTTGCATTTTGATTTGTAACCTCTTTACTAGGTGTTCTCAACTACGGGATCATATTTTGAGCCAGACCAGACTATTAATGTTGTAATTGCAAAACTCGCAAAATCATGAGTAATTTTTGCTCTTTCTGGAAAACCCTGCCTAAACGTGCTAATTTTTAACCTAACGCGTGGCAGGGAGACAGCTCTCCTAAAATCTGTAAAAAAATTTCTAGGCTACAATACCTGTTTTCTGAGAACATCTTGAAGTGAGTCCGAATAACGGGAAAGTGCCCAAGAAACTTCAGCTTTGTGCAAAGTGCATATTTTCGACAAAGATATTCTCGACTGCATCCAAAAGAGGCTTCTGCCTTATTAAGCCTCCTACTAGTAAACAAAATCCATAAGAGAAACACGATTAGTAATCCTGGCCCATTGTTGAGTCTAGCGGAAAATTGGATATTACATGTTGCTTTCAAGAATATGAGGGAAGAAATAATAACATTATCCACACAACAAGCTTTTGAAGCCCTAATCCTCGCGTCTTTCGAAACCTGTGTTAGCATTTGAAAAAAATAATCATGTTAAACTTACAGCTGATGATTTTGATGAGGCATGATTGTCGGTCCAATGGATAGTCCTGTAGATTGAGATGACAGGCTTCAAAAAAGTATTGTTCAAAAGCAAGTATCTTGGCGTGACTATGTAGTAAGTTAGATGAAACAAGATCAAATAAAATATTTCCTTGTGCAAAAAATAGTTTTCTGTGAGCAGGTCTAACGTTCACAGCTTATTGGGTTCATACATAACTCTTGCACCAAAATTCTGGAAAGTTCAGGATTGTTTCGACTTCAATGAAATCCTTCACTTTGATACGTATCTAGGGAAAATCTTGCGCTTTCAAAAGGTACTTAGAGCGAATCATATCAATGCCATTTCGCAATAATACAGGCTGATGAAGGATATCAATTGATAGGTAGTTTTTTTTTAAATCCGCTAAATTTACTTTATTAAAACATCTACTGTTTTTTAAATTCATCTTGCTTTCGGTTTTTTAACATACTTTTTCAATCTGAGAAATTTTTTGCAATTTGGATGTTTCTACGAATACTCACGATTCTCGAATTTTTTCATTTAAATTGCTTTTTCATTTTTCATTTCATTTGCTTTCAAATCAAAAAGCTCTCTGAAAATTATGAAAATATACAACTTTTGACACATGTTGCAAAAAGTAGAAAATGTGCTTTGAAGAAACCACTTGAACCAAAACAAACTTTTTCTCAATTTTTGGTGCAAGACTTACATATCAACTTGTTACAGTTTCTCACATCTTCATTTCAATCCCATATCCTTCTATATATATAAAACCGAATGGGATTTTGTCTGTACATTGGTGGCTTGTCTGTACGCTGGTGGATAAGCATGCTTGTTGATACTGTCTGTAGGTCCTCGATGGTGTTTTCGTGTTTGTCATTTTCCAGCATGGAAGCTTGTTATTACTTCTACCAAATTTATTGATTACTTGTAAATTTTGAACTACGGGGCTGGGAGTTGGCACAGGGGGGTAATCGAACATGCTGATTACGAATATGATAACCATTTTCAAAAATGCCCATTACTTTTATCATTTTATCGATTTTTTGGCAAAGTTCAAGCTACGGGGCTGGAAGTTGGCAAGGGAGGGTAAGCGAACAGGCTGATTACGAATACAATACTGGTTTTCAAAATTATCATTTACTTTTATCATTTATCGATTTTTTGGCAAAGTTCAAGCTACGGGGCTGGGAGTTGGCACACGAGGGTAATCGAGCATACTGATTACGAATATGATAACCATTTTCAAAAATGCCCATTACTTTTATCATTTCATCGATTTTTACAAATTTTGGACTGCGGGTTGGGAGTTGGCACGGGAGGGTAAGCGAACATGCTGATTACGAATACAGTATTAGTTTTTAGAATTAACAGTTATTTTTATCATTTTATCGATTTTTTGGCAAAGTTCAAGCTACGGGGCTGGGAGTTGGCACACGGGGGTAATCGAGCATGCTGATTACGAATACAGTATTATTTTTTAGAATTATCAGTTATTTTTATCATTTTATCGATTTTTTTGCAAAGTTCAAGCTTCGGAGCTAGGAGTTGGCATACGGGGGTAATCGAGCATGCTGATTACGAATATGATAACCATTTTCAAAAATGTCCATTACTTTTATCATTTTATCGATTTTTTGGCAAAGTTCAAGCTACGGGGCTGGAAGTTGGCACGGGAGGGTAATCGAGCATGCTGTTCAAAAATGCCCATTACTTTTATCATTTCATCGATTTTTACAAATTTTGGACTGCGGGGTTGGGAGTTGGCACACGGGGGTAATCGAGCATGCTGATTACGAATACAGTATTAGTTTTTAGAATTATCAGTTATTTTTATCATTTTATCGATTTTTTGGCAAAGTTCAAGCTTCGGAGCTAGGAGTTGGCATACGGGGGTAATCGAGCATGCTGATTACGAATATGATAACCATTTTCAAAAATGTCCATTACTTTTATCATTTTATCGATTTGTTTGCAAATTTTGGACTACGGGGTTGGGAGTTGGCACGGGAGGGTAATCGAGCATGCTGATTACGAATATGATAACCATTTTCAAAAATGTCCATTACTTTTATCATTTTATCGATTTTTTGGCAAAGTTCAAGCTACGGGGCTGGAAGTTGGCACGGGAGGGTAATCGAGCATGCTGATTACGAATATGATAACCATTTTCAAAAATGCCCATTACTTTTATCATTTCATCGATTTTTACAAATTTTGGACTGCGGGTTGGGAGTTGGCACGGGAGGGTAAGCGAACATGCTGATTACGAATACAGTATTAGTTTTTAGAATTAACAGTTATTTTTATCATTTTATCGATTTTTTGGCAAAGTTCAAGCTACGGGGCTGGGAGTAGGCACACGGGGGTAATCGAGCATGCTGATTACGAATACAGTATTATTTTTTAGAATTATCAGTTATTTTTATCATTTTATCGATTTTTTTGCAAAGTTCAAGCTACGGGGCTGGGAGTTGGCACACGGGGGTAATCGAGCATACTGATTACGAATACAGTATTATTTTTTAGAATTATCAGTTATTTTTATCATTTTATCGATTTTTTTGCAAAGTTCAAGCTTCGGAGCTAGGAGTTGGCATACGGGGGTAAACGAGCATGCTGATTACGAATATGATAACCATTTTCAAAAATGTCCATTACTTTTATCATTTTATCGATTTTTTGGCAAAGTTCAAGCTACGGGGCTGGAAGTTGGCACGGGAGGGTAATCGAGCATGCTGTTCAAAAATGCCCATTACTTTTATCATTTTATCGATTTTTGCAAATTTTGGACTGCGAGGTTGGGAGTTGGCTCGGGAGGGTAAGCGAACATGCTGATTACGAATACAGTATTAGTTTTTAGAATTATCAGTTATTTTTATCATTTTATCGATTTTTTGGCAAAGTTCAAGCTATGGGGCTGGGAGTTGGCACACGGGGGTAATCGAGCATGCTGATTACGAATATGATAACCATTTTCAAAAATGTCTATTACTTTTATCATTTTATCGATTTTTTGGCAAAGTTCAAGCTACGGGGCTGGAAGTTGGCAAGGGAGGGTAATCGAGCATGCTGATTATGAATATGATAACCATTTTCAAAAATGTCCATTATTATCATTTTATCGATTTTTTGGCAAAGTTCAAGCTACGGGGCTGGAAATTGGCAAGGGAGGGTAAGCGAACATGCTGATTACGAATACAATACTGGTTTTCAAAATTATCATTTACTTTTATCGTTTATCGATTTTTCGGCAAAGTTCAAGCTACGGGGCTGGGAGTTGGCACACGGGGATAATCGAGCATACTGATTACGAATATGATAACCATTTTCAAAAATGCCCATTACTTTTATCATTTCATCGATTTTTACAAATTTTGGACTGCGGGGTTGGGAGTTGGCACACGGGGGTAATCGAGCATGCTGATTACGAATACAGTATTAGTTTTTAGAATTATCAGTTATTTTTATCATTTTATCGATTTTTTTGCAAAGTTCAAGCTTCGGAGCTAGGAGTTGGCATACGGGGGTAATCGAGCATGCTGATTACGAATATGATAACCATTTTCAAAAATGTCTATTACTTTTATCATTTTATCGATTTGTTTGCAAATTTTGGACTACGGGGTTGGGAGTTGGCACGGGAGGGTAATCGAGCATGCTGATTACGAATATGATAACCATTTTCAAAAATGTCCATTACTTTTATCATTTTATCGATTTTTTGGCAAAGTTCAAGCTACGGGGCTGGAAGTTGGCACGGGAGGGTAATCGAGCATGCTGATTACGAATATGATAACCATTTTCAAAAATGCCCATTACTTTTATCATTTCATCGATTTTTACAAATTTTGGACTGCGGGTTGGGAGTTGGCACGGGAGGGTAAGCGAACATGCTGATTACGAATACAGTATTAGTTTTTAGAATTAACAGTTATTTTTATCATTTTATCGATTTTTTGGCAAAGTT